CTATATTGTAATTGTTATACAAGAATATGTTATGACAGAACCTTCTGATGGTGAGGCAGGATAGCATTGCCAACAAGTTTCTTCTCATTCTAATCTCAAATTAATAATAAATTTGAATTTACTATATGGTTTAGAGAATTATAAAAAAAAAATCCTTATAAGTACATATTTATACACACAGTTCCTAGTTGAAAATAGACCTAAACTCTATTAGTCCATACTTCTGTTAGTCACTATATTCATACTAAATATCATGGATAATGTATTTAAAAATCACTGTCTAATAGAAATATAATAAAAGCCGTATGTTATTTTTAATTTTGTCGTAGAGACATTAAAAAAGGTAAAAGAAGCAGGTTAAACTAATTTTTATAATAGACCTTATTTAATCCAACATATCCACAATATTATCATTTCAACATGTAATCAATATTAAAAGTATTGAGGAGCTATTTTACATCTTTTATTTCATACTGAGTCTAAAATCTGGTGTATATTTTACACTTAGAACACATCTCAATTTAGACTAGCCACACTTCAAGTGCTCAGTAGCCCCATGTGGCTAGTGACATTGATACCAAACAGCACAGATTTAAAGACTGAGCTCTTGCAAGTGCCTCAGCTCTAGAGCACATCTTATTCAATATATGAATAGGCTTATGTTTACTTACTATGATTTGAGGTAGGGCTTCTGAATTAGATGGTATGTTGACTGAATATTTGTGTCCCTTCCAAATTCATATGTTGAAGCTCTACCCCCCAGTGTGGTGGTGTTAGGAGGTCATGCCTTTGGGGAGTAATTAAATTTAGATGAGGTCATGAAGGTGGACTCCCATGATGGGATTAGAGTCCTTATAAGAAGAGGAAGAGACCAGAACTCTCTCCTTACTGTGAGATGACAAAGCAAGAAGGTGGTTCTCAGCAAGCTAGCAAGAGGGGCTTACCAGGAAACTTATCAGCTGGCGCCCAGAAGGTGGGACATCCCAGTCTCCAGAAACTAAGGAATGAAGTTCTGTCATTTAAACCACCCAGTCTGTTATAGCAGCCTATGTTGACTAAGACAAAGGGAAAGACAGTAAGGGGTAATATAATGTAAACAGACTGCTTCTGCCTCATAGTTTGGTGAAGAAAGACATTCATGTAAAAAAAAAAGGTGAGGAGGACACAGAGGAAAGGGTATGCTTAGGGGAGTCAGAAATGTAAGAGAAAAGGCAACATTTGAGTTGGACTAAGACATGATGAGTAAGAGTTTGACAGAGAAGTGAGAAAATGAGTCGAAAGTAACAAAAGGAACAAAAACATTAAGTTGCAGAAAAATCTGGCATTTGGTGCCTGTTGAGAAGCTTACCAGATCTCAGGGTGGGTAGGTAGCTTGAGAATTGCAAAAGGTTTGAATACACCACTGTTCAAAATAAAAAGTGTGATGATACCGATCAGCATAGTTTTTCTACTTTCTGTAGTTCTACTTAGAAACTACAAAAACAAACCTTTTTTGATTAAGAATTGGCTGAGCTAGCTCACAGGGAAATGCCAAGAGTGAGAGTATTGAAGATACTGGTGTGAAAATGCTTGTGAATTTTGATCTTGACGCCTAAGAGAGAGAAAGAAAAGAAATAAAAACAGGTTAGAGTGGGGGATGATAGGCTGAGAGAATAGCAGATGAGAAGCTTGGGAGTCACCATAAATATGTAGAGCAGATTTAACAGCAGGGACAGTGCCAGTGCTTGAGAGGTGGGCAGGAGAAAACGGAGGCCAGAGTAGGAATTTGGAGGTCTGAGCAATTCCAGTTGGAGTCGGGAAGCAAACTCCAGTTTGGTAAAGGCCAAGATATATCTCTGAATGATTTGTTAAAATCAATGAAGTAGAGTTGGTTAAAGAAGTTTGTGGGCAGAATGTTAGATAATTCAAATGGAGATAATTCTTATGGATCGAGACCTAAGTCCTCAAGGATTTCAGGGGAGGTCTGAAGATGATGATGACAAAGTAGAATTCACTGTAAATGAATGCCATACAACTCAAAGAAGCATACGAAGGAAAGGCTATGTAGCAATGGTCTGGAAGCAGCAGTAGGAAGCTGGAAGAATTTTGGTACCAACATCCTAAGATTCAGTGAATTAGAGTGAATGAGTATCTTCAGCTAAGCACTTTAACAAGGATCAGATATCAGGGCAAAGAGAAGCAGCATGGTGTAAAACAGTGATTCTCAAACTTTAGCCATAGCCTAGAAACACTGGGGAGAGCTGATTAAAAGTACTGATAGGTTGCCATGGGGTGCATATTGTAATGCACAACAAGATGTATGAGTCATTGGTATAAAAAAGGAGATAACCCTGAGTTTAATTCACTTCCTCCTAAGTGTGAATTTGAACAAATGACTTAACGGTGGCCCTCAATTTCCTCATCAAAAATGTAGCTATATAATACATACTCTCCAGGATCTTAAGGAAATAAACATTAACTGAGATCGTGCAGGGCCATGCTATACCATGCCATGAAAAATATAAGGCCATGGATTACTGTCTTGTGAATGGACTTTAGTGAACTGGCAGAAAACAGCTGCCCTATTTGAGCAGGTGGAATAATCCATCATACAACTATTAGGCTTCCTTGGGCAGGGTAGAAGCTAAAGGGCAGAAGGTGAAGGCATGTTGCTATTGATAACTGTGCACCAGCCCTCTCAGCCTCTCTAAACAAGAACTGATTTTCCTGTACACGATTTACAATTTGTACGAAGATTTTTGCTCAGTTACTGAGTGGCTGCTAGTGTAACTGCTGGAGCATAAGAATCATTCTCTGAGGGCACCCCAGCAGAGAGACACTAAAGAAACTTCTCTCTTGCCTTATTCAAATCAGAACGGCATTACTGCAGAGAGAAACAGAAAGGGGAGCACAAGACAGATTTTTATGCTGAAATTGAGTTAACTCATATTTGGACCCTTACTGCAACAGCTCCTAAGTAATTTCCACACTTCCTTCCCGGCCCATCAGTCAGAATTATCCTTTTACAATATAAGTGAGTTATGTAACTCCTCTGTTCATAACCCTCCAAGACTTTGATCTGGAGATGAACAACAGAAGGAAATAGCCTTTGCATTGTTTCACTTTTTCATGTGTGACAACAAGGTATAAGCTACATATGTATCTGATTGTACATATTCTCAGAGAACCAGAGCCAGACACTAGTTAACACAGTGAAAATAGATTGTATTCAGAAACTGTTGCAATAGGAAAGAGACCACAGTACAGAACTGGGCTCAATTCTGAATACAATAAAGATAGCTGGGGATTTATAGCCAAAGATCAGAGTTAAGGGGAAGGGGGAGCTTGTGGATGGAAAATTACTAAGGGCAGGCCAGAGTGATCAGATGTCAAGGGTGGGGACTGAGGAATTTGACTAGATATTGAGAGTGGTCAGATGTCAAGGATGGGAGAGATTCTCTCTAAACTGACTTGGCAGGGTTCTTGCTAAAACTGGTCTACGCAGGTCTGGCAAGGATAGGGGAGGGGCAAGATTGACGCGTAGTCCAGAACTGGGCTTAGAGAAATCTGACACTTTAGAGAACTTTTGCTCTTAAAAATTAGAAACAGGATTTGCAATCAGACAAATCCTATGTTAACATTTTACTAGTGTCATGTTACTGATCTAATTATTTAACCTCCCTTTGTCTCAATATTGTCATCTGTAAAATAGGGATGGTAATATACATCTCACACAGTTATTGTGAGAACATAGTGAGATAATAAATATGAAAAAGCTTAGGTTGATGCTTGTCGTCACTGCTGCCAACTGACCTAAACTAATATGGACTCAAATGCCTGGTTCTTTTCAAAAAATGGGTAACCTCACGTAGTAGGAGCTAGTTAGACAAACCCTGCTAAACGATCATTAGCAAACTTTTACGAAAACAGTTCTGCTCTGTCCTTAGACACTCCAACCATACAATTGTATGAGAGGCTCACTTAATGCTGGCCCTCAATGAATGACATTCTGAAGTCAGGACTGGCCAGGTCTGAAGTCAGGTCTGAATTAAGGCAGGGGACAGGGGCCGTTGTGACAGGTCTCTAGAGAGCTGCGCTTGGCTGCTTCCTCATACCTCATTTGTGCAATGGCAGAAAGGCATGTTCAATCTTTCTACAAACTATCCATTTTGAATACTACTCATTTCACCAGTGGAAATTATTCTTGAATATTTCCTATTATTAATAATAAACTCTTTGGTGTCAACTTCCATAACAATGTCTGAAGTGCCAAAATCACCTTTGGAGTGTGGATTTCTGATTAGAGAACTATAGAACTAACTAACTGTTCATAAATGTGAATTAGAGTTAACTCATATACACTGATATACATAAAACTGACTTATACAAAGTTATTTTTATTGTGTGAAGTATTATCACACAGACAGTATAATAATGATGTGCTTGTGTCTGGGTGATAAATAGTATTGTCTTTCTCCCTATCTGGATCCTTATCTTTGTCCATCCCTACCCACTTATTCTCATCCTCAGTATAATAGGTGACTAGAGTCTTTTGGAGCCTAAATATTCATAAAACTAATCAGAGAGAGATACACAAGGGTATCAGGAATTCTATATCATTTCTCCCCAGGAAATAAGAAAGCTTATCATGTATCTAAAAGGTCATACTTAGGTCAAGTTATGGTGTTAACTAGATATTCCAACCACTGAATGTCTTAAAAAATAAAGTTTTTAAAAAGCATTTTGTAAGACATTTATAGAAGTAAGAGATATGTTTTTATTTAACCAGCAAAACCTCTGTAAAAAATGAGACTGTTATTTCTGGAGATTCCAGAATTTCCTTTGGAAACATCCCCCAACTCAAATGAAAGTCTGACTCAGCCTCATAAAAATCTATGTTGCAATAGGTGCTGTGTCACTAAGAACCACTAAATAAACAAGGTTAACAGCACAAAGGAGCTGCAAACCATATATGGAGAAACTCATTTTTTCTAACTAGTGATAACTCATGTTTTACTTTCCGTTTTCTCAGAACTGAAGTAGGCTGTGCTTGGTAACACCGAGAGAGGGGTGGGTGGAGACAAGCACACTCTCAGAACCTGCAGTGGCCCTGGACTCCAGCTTTCCGGGGTTCCTCGCCAGACTGAGCATGCAAGTTACACTTGCTATGACAGCCTGGATGGTTTCTATGGTCTCCAGTTATTCATATTCAGGAAGCAGTTTACCAGATATCAACAATGAAACGTTCATCAGAAGCTGTGTTCAAATTCATAACAAGTTACGATCGGAAGTGAAGCCAACAGCCAGTGGCATGCTCTACATGGTAAGGAAAATACCAGTGTTTGTGGCATAGGTCTGTCAAAAACATCTAACGTGTCTCGATTTGGGAGATAAATCCTTGGTAATTGTGAATGATTTTTTTCTTTGTGATTAATGTGATCAGTAAATTCACCATCAAATCAAAATCCAGTGTAGCTCTACCAACAGGCTCAGCAAATACTTTTTACTTCTCTTTTGGGACATTTTCCTCTGGTCATAAATAGATTGTACTTCTCCTTTTTGTCATTTTCTTCCCTTTCAATTTTTTTCAAGATTTTTAAAAATTTGTTTATTTGTTTTATCTCTTGAGTTAACTTTTTTGTTGTTGCCAGCAGAGTACTCACTTTTTCAGGAAGACAGCATGGAGTGTGGAGAAAAGATAGAATCTTGATTCATTCAGGCTTGGGTTTGAATCCCAGCTGTGGCTTTGAGCTAGTTTTTTAACCTTTCTGAGATTCTTTGGATATAAGATATTGTGGTTTTTAAGTTATATAAACTGTACGAAACACAGCGCAGTATTTTGCACATACACGTATCCTTGCTTTTCAAAGGTTCACTTTACGCCACTTCGTTTTTAAGAAAGATCTTCATTAGTAGCTGTTTTTGCTTACTGAAAGAAATCTGAAGAGGATTTTCGTTTTTATACGGGGTGCGGGAGGAGAGGGAAAATAGCGTCCAGTGTTTGTTTTTCAGCCATTATAGAGGAAGCGTGCACTTCGAGCAGCGCGAGTGCTGCCGCCTTGCGCCTTCCCCGGGAACCACACTCAGCATCTCTGCATCAAGCCGCCATAGCTTTGACCTGTCTCTGTGAGCACCTGTACTTTATCTCGATTTATTTTGTGCATCTCTTAGCAAGATGTGTCTTAAGGTAGTTGCTTCTTTGCTTTACGTCATTTTGGCTCGCCAAAGGTTTCATAGGTTGGCTTTACTTTCAGATAGTGGGGGAAATTGGTAATAGATCTTCAGTGAAATGTTGGTCTGTGCCCCTCATTAGATTTTAAATTTCACAAAACTAGATGATCACATTTCCTACCAGCCCTAGTCAATACTGGAAGACCATACTTATAGAGAGGACCCATGTGCAGTGTTTCCCTCTCTATTCTTGTCATCACACTTCATTCCTGATTGAAATTCCCACTTTGCTCACTCCAGTTACATTGTTGGATAACGGGTTCCATTCTTGACCCTGCTATTTAATATTTATTTTTGCAGACTTGGGACACAGACCTTGCCAAAATTGCAAAAGCATGGGCAAAAAACTGTCAGTTTGAACATAACAGTCGGCTGGGGCCACCCCACAAGCTGCACCCAAATTTCACTGCACTGGGAGAAAACATCTGGACTGGCTCTCTCTCCATCTTTTCTGTGTCTTCAGCCATCACAAACTGGTACGATGAAATTCAATATTATGACTTCGAGACTCGGAAATGCAGCAAGAAATGTGGCCATTATACTCAGGTAAGGATCTGCCCTACATTCTCTTGAAACCATCTTTTTACGGGTAAGGAGAAAACTTGAATCTGGTGATAATAAAATATACAAGAAGCTAGTACATCTGTAAATATGAGAAAGTAGGGGTTACAGGCTTACTTTTAAAAATAAATAAATGGAACAGACTAATACCAAAGAAGATAGTGGTTGAAGAGTTTAATTATGTGGACATAGGTGAAATGTGAGGCCCACCAAGACTTTGAATAATTTTGATAACAGCTATCTTCCTCTGGGGCTTTATTTCATTTGTGAGCCATCAAAGGACCTTATGAGTGAATGGATTTTCGAGTATGAGTGCCCTATACAATTTGAGACAGTTGTTTGGGGACTATAAAATTAGGAGAGATAAGCCTCTCAGACAGAAGTGGCAGTAAGAATTGTTGCTTTCATATCCTCTTATTATTTCAAACATGGATTAAGAATCTATCGAGTGCCACAAAAGGAGGAAAAATAACAACAATCCCACCCCCTACAGAGATGCCAACATGTAAACTTGTATAAGCAATGCATGGCTTTTCTGCCCTCCAAGTAGACAGTATTAGTCTCAAAGCCACATTCAGAGCCTCCCATTGAGAGTTTTGTTTTTTTGTATTTTTTTTTTTTAACCCAAGCTGGTTTTAGCATCCTAACCCTAGGTCAAGTTTGCAACATGATAGAAAGAATCCCTTAGGTAGCTTCTGAAGTATTATTGATACGCTCCTTCCTATCCTGGACACATTTTGGTTATTTACTTTTATTTTCTTATAGTCTTTGTTAAACAAAGAACTAAAGGTACTTAACTTATGTTTAACTGGTTCGAATGTACAAAATTTTGTCGAAATGAGGTATGATGGTAAAAACATTTCTAACAAGGCAGTTAACTTGGGTATTAGGTGTTTTTAAAGAGCAAATTTTGTTAGAAAAACTCTCAATATAGTTCAGCCTTAGCCTTTGATCTCACTAGTATTGTTACAGGTAAAAACAATTTTGGCACAGTTACAGGAGATGATGATAATGAAAAAGAAAGGACTGATTTCGGTGAAATTTTCATCTCAAGATTACTGTAAGAAAGGAGCTATGAAATCATCAGTAGCGTTAGTTTTTAGATATAAATGAGGTTTTTCTGGACTTATCCCATAAATCACAAATTTTGGTTTATGTTTACAAATAAATTTAACCAGAAAATAAATTTTATTGCATTGCCTAGAGGGCAAGAAAGCTAAATCCAGATTGCCTATGTGTGGTACCTGGTACCATTATGCATTATGGTGTTTAAATCTCCAAGAATTATTGTCAGTTTGAGGGTGCCAATTCTCATTCAGGCAGTGTTTAAACTTCTACCCTATGCCAGGCACTTTGTAAGGCACTGGTCATACGTCCTAGTTCATATTCCTAAAAAACAGAACCCGAGACAATAGCTAAAGTGCTAACACTTTATCAGGGAGTATAATCGCAGAGAAGTAGGAGTGAGAACTGGGGAACAAGGGACACAGCTGGGAATAGCGCTGGCCCTTAAGAGCTGACCTTCTTTGGGAGAGACGTGTGGAAATGGACATATTACAGTACATGACTAGTCCAATTTGGAGAAACCAACAGTGCCACGTGAACGAAGAAGACAGACCAACTTATCTGACCAAAGGGAGGAATGGAGACATAGGAGTTGTTCACATGGCAGGAGACGCTGAGTTGGTGCCTGAAAACTAAGTGAGAGTTTGTCAAACGAAAAGGAAAGGGAAGAGAGCTCCAGGCAAAATTAACAAGGTGTAAAATGTATACAATGTGTACAAAAGAGCCCAGTACTTCAGAAGAATGGCCAGCAGCTCACAACACCAAACTTATAGAGTTCAAAAGGCAGTTGACAACAGACTTCTAGACCATGCAAGTTAAGACACTCGATGTCCCTCATTCCAGGGAGCCAAAACTTGGTTTTATGTTATATAGGCCTGAGATTTTAGAGACAGGCCTCCCCAAATTAACTGAGCTTACTTATAAAATTTCCCCTTAGGTGTAAGGGAAATGTAAGGAGAGCTAATATTTTGGACATGAAAAAAGTCATTTCCAAAAATCCATTTCCTTGCATACAAGGTATCAGAGCCTGAGCTGAGTGATCCTAATCTGTTCTCCTTAAGAGACCACTACATTCCACCCCCATTTCAGAAGAGGGTCCTTCATCATGGGGAGTATGTCTAGGGAACCCCTGGGTCTGGGAAGATGGGTGCTGAGATCTCTACATTTAAGATCTCATTTGATTCACACCAAACCTATAATAAGAAAGGCACTGTTCTCCAAAGATGAATAAACAGCCTCTGAGAGGTTAAGAAGTTGTTTTTCCAACGTTGTTTAGCAGTAAGAGGGCAAGTTGGGATTCAGATATCAGGTATGTTGTAAGGATTAAATAAGATAATGTATGCAAGTTATCTAGTGAAGTACTAGTATTTAGTAAGCATTGAACAAAGGTCAGATTGCTTCCATGAGCTGGTTTTCCGCCAGTTATATTGGAAGAAGGCTCTGACAGCTTAAAGACTCCCGTTTTCATCTCTGGATGAAACCTTGCTGGGAGATTCAAGACTACTCAGTTGCCATTTTAAATTCATGCTGGTAACTACCTCAAGTGGGTATTATAACCTCCCACTATTTCTCATCTTCTATTAACACAAGGCAAGCTATTTTCATATTTTGGCCCATGAGGGGTAGCTGTATACTGAAAAGACAAATTCAAGTCCATTATTACCTCCTGAAGGTGTGATATTTTGTGACATGTTAACCCAACATTTTAGCTCTGTCTTGACTGGAAATAGATTTGCATAGCAGAAGAATTTTGATATATCAGTATAGAAGACTATTCACATTAGGTATTTTGTTGCCCACAGTTCAAATTTGGGAAGTCTGGGAAGAGTTTGACTTAAATATCTGGGCGGGGCAGCAGCTTAGGTTTGGTAGTATTGGAATGTCCACTAGATGGCACTATTGGACTCATTTTTTGTTTTTATCCCTACCCCAGGCCACCCTAATTAAGCCTCTTGAAATTTTTGTCATTTTTTACACTCTCACGGAACCCATTAAAGTGTGAGATGTTACATGGTTTCTCTAGCTGGCTTCTTAAATGTTGCAAGGTTACCATAGCTAATAATGAGCCAGATGGACTCATGGAGAATTGAAAGAAGTGTTGGGAAGGGGTTTTTAGCTAGAAGAAAGAGACATGCTTGTTCCCACTGGGATCCCCAAACTCAATGTCTTTGTTAGAAAGGCATAGAGAGTCATTCCTGGTTCTGCTAAAAGGAAAAGCATTCCAAAGGCATCTTAGGGTGTGGACTGACCTCGCCATACTTCCTGGTCAAGTAGATTTAGATTCCAGCTCTCATCTATAACAATCAGGGCAATACCTGTTTATTGATTTGTTATGAGGTTGAACATGCTGTTGCATGTAAAGTGCTTAACACTACCCTGGCACTGGGTAAAGTCTCAATAATGAGTAGCTCCTGTATTTTAATAATTATAATTTTTTTGTTTACCATATTAAAAGAAATAAAAAAAACATACAACAGAAATCTACCTGATAAAAAATAGTTTCAAAAATTTTAAAGTGAAAAAAAATAGCTATAGGAGAATTAAACATGAACATATGCTGAGTGCTTGCTACATTCTAGAAGCTGTTCTAAGCATTTTCTTATTAGCTCATTTAAAATGTCAAAATAAGCCTGTGGGGTTAGTGTTATCTTCATTTAATTGACAAGGAAGCTAAGGCCGAGGTCACACAGGGAGTAGCTGAGCTGAAGTATGAACTCAGGCTTTGTAGCTCCGGAGCCCATAAATTTAACCCAGAATTTGAAGGCCCGCGAAGCTCTTAAAAAGAGACCAGCTTGAATGGATAAACTGTGGTACATCCATGCAATAAATACTACTCAGCAATGCAAAGGAGTGACTACTAATGGATTCAACAACATGAATGAAACTCAAATGCTTGTGCTAAGAGAAATAGCCAGAATCAAAACTACATTTAAACTGATCCCACTTTCATAACACTCTGGAAAAGGCAAAACTACTGAGACAAAAAAAAAGCAGATTAATGATTGCCAAGGGCTGAGAGTCAATTAGTGGCTGATTACAAAGAGGCACAAGGGAACTTTTGGGGGTAATGAAAATGTTCTACATCTTGAATATGAAGGAATAAGGCTATACAACTCTATGTTTTTGATGCAATCATAGAACTGTACACCTAAAAAGGATGGATTTTACTATATGTTAATTACAACCTAACTTTAAAAAAAGAGACCAACTAAAACATGAAATGAATACTAACTAATATTTACACACTCCTGGAAAAAAGAGACCAGAAATATTTTAAAAAATAGAATAAAGAATAGCATAAAGCATTAAAAGTGTGTGTGTGTGGCGGGGCAACATTAAGAATACTTGAAATATAAGAACACTGGAAGAAAGTGCTCGAAGACCAAAGGATAAAAGATAAAATAAAATGAGCTAAAGTGACAGTAAAAGGCATACAGACAACAGTGAACTCAGTTAGCATGCACAAGAATCACCAGAGGAACTTGTTGAAATACAGATTTCAAGGACAATTCCACTGACTCTCACCCGTCAGTCAGTCTGAGGTGGGCCCAGAAATCTGATTTTTGAGCAAAGCACCCCAGATGAAATCATTTTGAGTTGCAGTAATTAGGAATTAAGAAATTTTTTAAAAAGCAAATACAAAAATGATTGGAAAGTAAAAGTAAAAGGATCATACTTGATTAATGGCCATAAAGCTAGGCTGTCTCAAAGAGACAGAGGCCTAAGCTATGTGGTTACCTGGAGTACCCTGCCGGGAATTCCTGGGCCTAAGATGAAAGGAAAACACCCTGGGCAGGCAGGGGACCTTCCTTGCCAAAGGAGAGCACTGCTCCGTGGGGAACCAATAGCTGCCTTCCTAGATCCTCCCCAGTCCTCACACAAGGAGGAGGACAGATGCTGAGCAGTTGCCTTCCCTGGCACTTCGCCAGCCACCTCCTACCCGCCTCCTCCTCTTCCTACTGGTCCTTTAAGCTTAGAGAAACTCAGACTCCATCCTCAGCTCCCCTCTATCTCAGTCTGTGCTCTCTCCCCAGGGAGTGGTTTTTATTAATTTTTTTTCCGAGTAAACTTGATCTTTTTCTGCAGCCACACTGGCTTTGTCTTGTTTGAGTCTGTCTCACTTTGGGTTCACGCAGATGTTGCCCTCTACTGGAAGACTTCTGGGTCTCAGACCAGCTCCCCCAACCTTCGGCTCCACTTCAGGAAGTCAGGGCAGGGCCCTGTGCTATACAATCCCTTAGCACCCTCTGCTTCCCCTGCTTTTCTCTCCATTTTCTGAAGGCACCCACTGGCTCCAGCCCATTCACCCTTGCATTTGCCACATTCTTCACAATTCTTGTCACAATATTGCCAAAAAAAAAATGTATGAGTAGAAATCATTTAAAATGCAGTTTGATGTTACTATAAAAAGGAGTGCTTTTATTGGCTGGCTTAGTTCCAGACTAGCTCTTTAAATACTTTTTTTTCTTTAGGCTTCTGTGACACCAAACACTCTATACAGCTTGTTAAAATGAGCTATATAATTAATTTGTGGGGCCCAGTGCAAAATTAAAATGTGGAGCTCCTCGTTCAAAAATAAGAGGAAAGTGCCACTAAAGGTACTTAAGTGTATGACAGCATTGGATTAAACCAAGCATACAGCCCTTCTGATCATGGGGTTCCTCTCGCTGAAGCTGGCTGTTCTTTGTTTCCCTCCTGTCACTGACCACTCCTTTTAATCTGCTTCGCTGGCTGTTCTTTATCTCATGCTCTCATATACTTTTTCTTTCTATTATCTTTGCCTGTGTGATCGAATCTAGTCCCGCGTCTCCCAGGTTTATATTTCTAGCTTTGACCTGTTCTCCGAACTGCAGTTGCTTCTATCCAGCAGCCAAGTCAGTGTCTTTTACTTAGACGTGTGCTGGGCATCTCAAAAGTAAGATGACTCGAACAGAACCCTTTTCCATGCTCTCATCCATTGTCCTCCTTCTATAGTTTTCCCCATCTCAGTAAAATGTTATCTGGGCCTAAAACATCAACTTGATTT